TCCAGCAGTTCATTCCATATGGAAACAACAGCTTAAAAAAAGTTGCCCCACATGTCCTTTTTAAATCTTTCTGCTCTCACCTTAAAATTATGCCCCCGGGTTTTGAAATCCCCTACCCTAGGGAAAAGACACCTGCTATTCATCTTATCGATGCCCCTCATGATTTTATAACCTCTATATGGTCATCTCCACCTCCTATGCTCTAGTGAAAAAGGTTGCAGCCTTTCCAGTCTATTTTTATATCCCAAACTCTCCATTCCCTGCAACATCTTCTCCAGTTTAATAACACCCTTTGGGCGAAAGAAGTGCACACACTACTCCAGATGAGGCCTCACCAACGCCCCGTACGACCTCAGCATGACGTCCCAACTCCTACACTCAAAGGTCTGAGCAATAAAGGCACACGTGCTAAATGCTTTCTTAACCACCCCGTCTACCTGTAATGTAAATTTCAAAGAATTATGCACCTGAACCCCTAGGTTTCAAAAGTCTAAGTTTCAGTGTCCTTGCAGCCAACAGAAATACTTATTTTTGAAAGCCTTATTAAGGTATGCAAACAAATGCAATTCACAGTAACTGCTGATGGTGATTACTGGCAGGGAGTGCATCCAATTTGTTTCTGGGACTTGTTGCCAGCACAATGTTTTAAATGATAGAGTAAAAGATCACAAACTCGATATGTGCTGAGTTTAAATTAATTTAAATTATTTTAAATTCAATAGCGCTTACAATCTTTTGTATTAGTTACGTTGGTTTCGGCCAAATGGTATTGAAAAACAGTGCAATTGAGTGGATCTCCAGACCTTAATGCTCAACACTACTTTTAATTAATTTTTAGTGCAACTAGTAACTGTTGTAGATTCTCAATTTATGCAGATCAGGACAGACAAAGGATGAAATTTAATGCCCTTTCAACAGCACATTCAGATGAGGGTTCTGGGGGGAGGTGGTCATTTAAGGTGGTAGGAGGGTGTGGATTTGGGACCTTGCCACCGTTCTGTCTCCACACAACTATGTTTGGGGCAGGAAGGATTATGAATAACCATTCCTTTGATGAAAGGGGTCAATGTACCATCACCAAGTTTGCAGATGACATAAAAATAGATGGGAAGGCAAGTGGTGGAAATGACACAAGAAGAATTTGCAGATACAGTCAGATTAAGTGAGTGGACAAATACTTGGCAGATGGGATATAACGTGAGAAAGTGAGAGGTTATGTACTTTTGCAGATAAAAGAGCTGAGTATTATTTAAACAGAGAGACTGTAGAAGGTTTTGGCACAGAGGGATTTAGGAGTCTTTGTACATAAAAGACACGCAATGGTATAGTGGTAATGCCACTAGACTAGTAATCTAGACATGGGCACAAATCCTACCCTGGTAGGTGGTGAAATGTGAATTCAGTTTCATTACGGAGGGAATTTTGACCCAATGACACTGAAGGAATGGCAATATATTTCCAAGTCAGGATGGTGAGTGATTGGAGAGGAACACGCTGATGGTAGTCTTCAATCACACCTGCACGTCAACTTCTGACGCACTTGATCCCACTAAAGCCTTTACTTTCTCTCACCCTGGTCATTTTCCTGGTATAGCCTTCATCTCTACCCCCATTAGTTGAAGGGATGCAGACTTGAAGGTTTATGACAGATAACAGATTTTGTCATTCAACAATGCAAAGACAATTCCCAGCTCCTATTTTCCACTACAAACTGCCTTCTTAAACTCCCTATTGTCTTCTCTTCCTTCACAATAAATAGGTACAAGGTGCTCCTAGCATTCTTCATTGCTAAAATTGAGACCACCCATTCTAGGTTTCTGTCCTTTCGCCCAGTCCGCAAAACTCCCCTCTGCCACTGACCTGTAAATATATCATTTACTAGTTTCTGTATCATCTTCCCTCAAGCTCATCTTCTCCATGAGACTGACCTCCTGTTTCCTCCCTCCATCCTCTCCCCACCAAACTGCTCACTATCCAATTTCCCTTCCTGGCCCCCAGGTTATCTAATATTGTTAATGGTTCCATCTCTTAAATTACTATTTCCCTCCCCTACGAATCTGCCATCTGACATCCTTGCTCATTCACTGCAACACATCTAACCATCTTTAATTTTCCTTTCCTCTCCAACATTCTTTAACATCCTGTCACCTCCTAAATCTGTGCCCATCTTTTTCTGAAATTCTACCTTTGTTCCCTACAACCAGGTGTTTGCCCCTGGCACAGCACAGTTACCTGCAACAGGCTATTCTTTCTGCACAATTAACTCTGCAGTCCCCCAAAGATTGATCCTTCCACCTGCTTCCCCCAATGTCTCACCTGCATCTTGCTATTGGTAACAACATTATGAAAGACAGTAGTTTCTGCATGCATGCTGAAAAAAAATTAATTGAATAATTTCATCTTCTACAGGAAAAATCATGGGAATCTATTTATAACAAATTATTAATGTTTACATCATGTAGAATTCCTTGATGTTCATGTAGCTGAGTTCCCCAAGGGAGATGTTATTAATGTTGACTCAACCTTGACTCCATTTTTAAAAAAGATAACTCTCCAGTACTCATCTTTAGTTGTTTCTCCAAATTGGTCATAATGGACAAATAAAATTTCCATGATTGTTGCGTTACCAAATTATTTCCATTTAATTTAAGATGGCCATTCTAAGTAGCGCAGTATTCAGCTAAATTACAGCATTCTGATGTGATCTGCTGTTCTTAAACTTGCATACAAATATCCCTTCTTTGGGAAAATTAGTTGTATATCAAAAACTATTGTATACAACTTCTGTTGGAGGTAGTTTGAGTTAGCTAAATTAACATATTAACTAGTAAGTTTTATATTATTTGTAGTGAAGTGTTGTGAACCATGGAGTACCGTACTTGAGAGATTGGAGAATGTATGTACGTATCTATGTATTTATCAACTTAGTAATCTAAAAGGTGACTCTTCCACAGTTTTGAAAATAATTCAGGTCTGTGTGCTTTTTGTATTTGTTATCACATTTAAGCTGCAAACAACTGGGCCCCCTGTCATTAGTCATTTATGTAAATTATTTGGATGAGAATATAGGAGGCATAGTTAGTAAGTTTGCAGATGACACCAAAATTGGCGGTATAGTAGACAGTGAAGAAAGTTATCTAATAATACATGAAAGGATCTTGATCAATGGGCTAGTGGACCAGGGAATGGCAGATGGAGTTTAATTTAGATAAATGTGAGGTGTTGCATTTTGCTAAGACAAGCCAGGGCAGGACTTAGGAGGGCCATGGACAGTGTTGTCAAACAGGGAGACCTAGGGGTGCAGGTATATAGTTCCTTGAAAGTGGCGTCACAGGGAGGCATGGTGATGGAGAATGTCTTTGGCACGCTTACCTGCATTGGTCAGAGCATTGATACAGGAGTTGGGACATCATGTTACGGCTACAGAAGTCATTGGTAAGGCTATATTTGGAGTATTGTGTATAATTCTGGTCACACTGCCATAGGAAGGATGTTATTAAACTAGAAAGGGTGGGAAAAGAAGATTCACAAGGATGATAGAGAGACTAGAGGGTTTGAGTTATAAGGAGAAGCTGGTTAGGCTGGGGTTATTCTCCTTGGAGCTGAGGAATGAGCTTATAGAGGTTCATTAATCATGTGGGGCATAGATAAGGTGAATAGCCAAAGTCTTTATTTTAAAAACCAGGATAAGGGATTCCACAACTACCCAAAGGGACCTGAGGGGAAACCTTTTCACACAAGGTGATGCATATATGGAACAAGCTGGCAGAGGAAGTGGCAGAGGCGAGCACAATGACAACATTTATAGGACATTTGGACAGGTACATGGACAGGAAAGGTTTAGGGAGATATGGGCCAAACATAGGCAAACAGGGCTAGTTCAGTTTAGGAAACCTGGTTTGTGTGGACAAGTTAGTCCAAAGGGTCTGTTTCAATGCTGTATAACTCTATGACTCTAAAACCCCAATGCTACGTCACACCAACTCTTGACCTCTTCTCTGCCTCATATATATTACCTCTCTCTCTGACATGCAGTTCTGAAAGAGCAGAGGTTTCCATTATTAACTCCACCCTTCTCTCACATCACTGTATCAAGCTAAACAAGACCTTGTGGAATCTTAGCACCTTATTTGATTGTGAGATGAGCTTCTAACCACTTATCTGCTTGATCATTAATAACTCCAACTTCCCCAAAAGTTACATCATCCAACTCTGCCTTCAGCTGATCTGCTGCAGAAACTCCTATCCACACTGGATAATTCCAATACACTCCTTACTGGCCTCCGTCTACCACCCGCATACACTTAAACACATCTAATGATCTGCTGCCAGTATTGGAACACACACCAAATTCCTTCACCTATCGTTCTTGCGTTCATCGACATGTACTGCCTTCTGATCCGACAATTTGATTGTCATCTTTAAACCCCTACCTGGCTGTGCCCTCAGCTTGAGATCTCAACATTCCTCAATTTCAAACTTCTGACACATCGTATATTTTGTTCCAACCAATGGCAACTTGGACCTAAGCTTTGTAATTTCCTTTCAAAGCTTCACGGCATCAGTGTCCTCCGTTAAAGTATTCCTTACAACCAAAATGTTTAAACGTACTATAGTCTCCTGTGGCTTGATGTTGAATATTTTTGACAACATCCCTGTGAAGCATCTTGGAATGTCCTGCTATATAAGCTATATAAATGCACATTGTTATGATGAACAAACATGACACCAAGCAAAAGCCAATTCTTCCAACTCCACTTATGTTCATAACCTCAGAACTTCATTTTTACATCAGCAATATTTGGAATCTCACATTCTCCATCACGATGGTGATCTGTTACGATCAGGTTTTAAATGACAGCACTTGCTTTATGGTTTTCAATTCTGAAAAGATCAGATATTTCAAATATTATTTTCTAAAAGTGGCCTTGAGCTAATAAAGCATATACCAAAATTTTATTCGTTAAAGTTATTACGAGAATTTTTCTTAAAAGGTGTACCTCATTGTCTGTACCAACGTCGAGAAGCACAGGGAGGCAATGCTGTGGATTCACTCCACCGCAGGCTGTGTAGAGAGCTAGTTTTCCCACTGGAATTCCCATTCCGTAGCTTCCAAGATCTCCAAGTCCAAGGATACGTTCACCATCAGTAACAACAATGGCCTTAAAATTATAAGGAAACAAAAATCAGTACAAGTTAAAAGTTGTAACTTAATTTTCAACCCAGGTATAAATAGTGGTTTAAAAAACAACCGATTATCTACATTAAAACATCTGAATCAAATGAATATCTGGTTTAGATCAATATATTAACTTGCTAAGAGAAATATTTTCTCATTATCTTAGCAACAATATTACGCAACAATCAGGAGAACTTCACAACAGATTTGAGTATGATGCGAAGACACTATTTACTTGTTAAGGGAGGATCATGAAATATTTGGCAAATGTAATATTTAAGAATATGTTCTTTAAATGATCTTTCTACATTGACTCTGGTTACTTTTGCAGAATAAAAAATAGTCACAAAAATAATTGAGAAACTTGCATTAATAGAATGATTCATTATATCTCTCTAAAACACAATCGGTATCTACTGTTGTCAAACATGTTAGCCGAGGAGTGGCAGATGGAGTTTAGTTTATATAAATATGAGGTGCTGCATTTTGGAAAGGCAAATTGGGGCAGGAATTATACACTTAATGGTAAGGTCCTGGGGAATGTTGCCGAACAAAGAGGCCTTAGAGTAAAGGTTCATAGTTTCTTGAAAGTGGAGTCGCTGGTAGATAGGATAGTGAAGGCAGTGTTTGGTATGCTTGCCTTTGTTGGTCAGTACATTGAGTATAGGAGTTGGGAGGTCATGTTGCGGCTGTATGGAACACTTTTGGACTACCGTGTGCAATTTTGTTCTCCTTGCTATAGGAAGGATGTTGTGAAACTTGAAAGAGTTCAGACAAGATTTATGAGGATATTGCTGAGGTTGGAGGGTTTGAGCTATAGGAAGAGGCTGAATAAACCGGGATTATTTTCCCTGGAGTGTCGGAGGCTGAGGAGTGAACTTACAGAGGTTTATAAAATCATGAGGGGCATTGAGAGAGGAAGCAGACAAAGTCTTTTCCCCGGGGTGGGGGAGTCCAAAACTAGAGGGCATAGGTTTAAGGTGAGGGGGGCAAGATTTAAAAGGGACCTAAAGAGGCAACTTTTTGGCACAGACGGTGATGCTGACTGGTACAATTACAACATTTAAAAGGCATCTGGATGGGTATATGAATAGGAAGGGTTTAGAGGGATATGGGCCAAATGCTGGCAAGTTGGACTAGATTTGTTTAGGATATCTGGTCAGCATGGGAGAGTTGGACCAAAGGGTCTGTTTCCATACTGTACATCTCTATGACTCTTTATGACTAGACAGACCAGTCATTTGGTACCATCATCTCACTCCTCAAAAATACAACTTTTGACTTCCTGTCCAAACTACCACCCCATCCCCAACCCAAATTCAGTGAATATGTTGCCACCTATCAGATCTGTTCCCATCTTTCCTGGACCTTCTTGTTGAATCTGTCCTATCAGATTTGTGCCAAACAACTGCTATTGAAGTTACAAATGTGACTGTGACAAAGATAAACTTCCCATTATTGTGCTTTATGAACTGCCTGGAAACTTTGACATAATTGAACAGACCATCCATTAGGCTAATGCAAAGAATAGGGTATCCTATGTAACTTGTTAGCCAAAAACGTGCACAGAATGCACCTAACACAAGAAAAACAACCTAATGTCATTGTTATTTGCAAAAGTTATCAATCTCTTCATTAGGCATTGCAATCTTTCCATTATTTCCAGTTTTTGATTAAGGGTCTTAATGTGAATGAAATTGCTTTTCTTTTACACTGTCTACCTTATCTGGCCTATGCAATAATCAAAGGAAAGTACTTCCTTTCGCCAATACTACAAGGATCACAGATTTACAGGACATTGGTGAGGCCACTTCTGGAATACTGTGTACATTTCAAGTTGCTCTGCTATACAAAGGATATTATTAAATTAGAAATGGTGCAGAAAAAGGTTCACAAGGATGTTCCCCGGACTGGAGGGTTTGGATTATAAGGAGAGGCTGGATAGGCTGGGACTTTTTTCCCTGGAGTGTTTAAGGTTGAGGGGTGACCTTAGAGCTTTATAAATTCATGAGGGGCATAGATAAAGCGAACGGCAAAAGTCTTTTCCGTTGGGTAGGGGAGTTAAAAACCAGAAGGTATAAGTTTAAGGTGAGAAGGGAAAGATTTAGAAGGGTCTTGAGGGGCAACCTTTTCATACAGAAAGTGGTTCACAGATGGAATGAGCTGCCAGAGGAAGTGGTAGGTGCAGGCACAGTTACAACATTTAAAAGACATTGCGCTGGTGCATGAATAGGAAAGGTTTAGAGAGATATGAGCCAAATGCAGGCAAGTGGGATGAGTTTAGTTTGGGAAACCTGGAGGACAGTGGTTCAGTGGTTAGCACTGCTGCCTCACAGCACCAGGGACCTGGGTTCAATTCCAGCCTCGGGTGACTGTTTGTGTGGAGTTTGTATGTTCTCCTTGTGGGTTTGTGCCAGGTGCTCCGGTTTCCTTCCACAGTCCAAAAATGTGCAGGTTAGGTGGATTGGCCATGCTAAATTGCCCATAGTGTCCAGGGATGTGTAGGTTAGGTGGTTTAACCATGGGAAATGTAGGGTTACAGGGTAGGGCAGAGAGTCAGCGTGGACTTGTTGGGTTGAACGGCCTGTTTCCACACAGTATGATGCTATGAATTGGACCGAAGGGTCTGTTTTGATGCTGTGAGAAAGACTTTATTTTATTTTATGTTGTCAGTAGTACTGGCCTGAAGATGGCAGCCTATGAGGGTGGCCGAAGTGGAGTGTATCAATGGCTTCAAAAGACAATTTTCCCTGAGAACATATTATACAGTGTTAGTTGCACACAGCCCTGTTTTCAATAATGGTTTGCAGATACCTGATATACTGTGTACCATATCATACAAGAGTGATTGACAATGTTGAGCTAAGATCTGCCACAACTTCATCCTGAATTAGATTGACACTTTCTACAGAATACAGGTGCAACTCTCCCTACATAGAACGCTTTGGATTTGGTTCTATTAAATATGTTTGCCATTATTCTGTTCATTTCAAGGTGTTATCTAAATCAGCATTTCTGAGCCTGAGATTCAAACGTCCCGCTTCACTTTGCACTTTTCGTATCCTTGAGCATCCTGCATTGTGCTTTTGAATCGAAATGATTATGTAAGTGGAAAAAGGTTGGAGGCACTCACGCCCTCACTGCTCTGCCAACATAACTTTTTTTTTTAAACAAGTTCCTGCTCCTTCCTACCTCTGCAACTAGTTTCCCGTTATTTGCCATGTTAATATTGAATCTTCACCTCTTCAAGATTAAACAGGATTTGTCCACATGAAACAATGGGAAGGATTTTCCAAAGACTGGCAATCTCACGTGGCTCAGGTCGGTGGGAAGGTAGGTTGGGGCCAGTGGGAGTCAAAGTGTGCGAAATAAGTATTGGGTCAGTTTAATAGTTACTCAGGAGTTAGACTATGTAAAAGGAAGCAATGGCCTTGTGGTATTGCTGTTAGACTATTAATTCAGAGACTCAGGTAGTGTTTTGGGGTCCCAAGTTCATATCCTACCATGGCAGATGGTGGATCTTGAATTCAATAAAGAGAGTCTGGAATTAAAAGTTTAATGTGATCGTGAAACTGTTGTTAATTGTTGGAAAAACCCATCTGGTTTACAAATCTTTGAGAAGAAAATTGTCAACTTTACCTGGCCCACCCTACATGTGACTCTAGTGCCAAAGCAATGTGGTTGACTCTTAACTGCATTCTGCGCAATTGAGTATGCGCAATAAATGCTGTTCGAGCTAATAATGCCCTTGTCCCGTGAATAAATAATTTTTAAAAATTAACAATACTATTTCTCGCTTTCAGCGGTGGGAGTGGTGAGAGCATGAGCCAGGGGGCAGCCGGGAAGGTAGGCTTTTCTTTATAAAAACTTACCTCGTGAAGTAGCAGCCTTCTTGCTTTCAGTGGCAGGAGTGGTGACAGCGCGAGCCAGGAAGTGAACTACTATGTTCGGGCATCGGCTAAACCTGAAACACGACACGTGTAGTGTCTCCCACCCATCTTCCTCCTCTAACCAAAAAAAAGACTGTGTGGATGGTCGGTAAGGTAAGGTTTTTAGTCTTTATTCTTCTGGAAATCTAGAGTAGAGGGAATGGAAGCAGTTGCATGCTCCTCTTGTAGGATGTGGGAGGTAAGGGTCACTACTGGTGTCCTTTCTGACTTCACCTGCGAGAAGTGCACCCAACTCCAGCTCCTCACAGACCGTGTTAGGGAACTGGAGCTAGATGAACTCCGGATCATTTGGGAGGGTGAGGGGGTGATAGAGAGGAGTTATATGGAGGTGGTCACACCCAAGGTACAGGACAAAGGTCGCTGGGTGACTGTCAGGAGGGGGAAAGGGGATAGGCAGACAGCGCAGGGATCCCCTGTGGCCATTCCCCTCAATAATAAGTATACCGCTTTGGATACTGTTGCGGGGGACATCCTACCAGGGGAAGGCCATAGTGGCCAGGTCTCTGGCACTGAGCCTGGCCCTGTGGCTCAGAAGGGAAGTGGGGAGAATAGGTGAGCGATAGCGATAGGAGATTCATTGGTTAGGGGAACAGACAGGAGATTCTGTGGTACCAAGCAAGGCTCCTGGATGGTATGTTGCCTCCCAGGTGCCAGGGTCGAGTTTTCAGGATTCTTAAGGGGGTGGGAGAGCAGCCAGAAGTCGTGGTACATTTCGATACCAATGACATAGCTAGGAAGCAGGTTGAGGACCTGAAAAGTGATTATAGGGAGTTAGGATGGAAGCTGAAAGCCAGGATGAGTACAGTAGTAATCTCAGGATTACTACCGGTGCCCCGGGCTAGTGAGGCTAGAAACAGAGAGAGCGCGCAGCTGAACACATGGCTACAGAGCTGGTGTAGGAGGGAGGGCTTCAGGTTTGTGGATCATTGGGATACCTTCTGGGGTAGGTGGGACCTGTACAGGAAGGATGGGTTGCACCTGAACTGGATGGGCACCAATATCCTGGGTGGGAGGCTTGCTAGAATTCTTCGGG